CAATAACCCTTTAAGCCATCTTCAGACCGCAAAGTTGGGGGCGGTGGAACAGAGGTGGGCATCCCAATTGGCCTCATTTAATTTTACCATCAAGTATCGTCCGGGCCGTAGTAATGAAAATGCTGATGCTTTGTCGAGACAGTATCTGGAGAGATTTGCATCAGGGACAGACGTCCCACCTGTTTTGGTGGGACCGTTATCCAAGGGGTCAGAGAAAGAGGTAGGGTGTAATGAGGTTGTAGCACTGGCTGGGCGGTCTGTGGAGGACCTTTCCTCATTACAAGAAATGGACCCTGTGATTGGTCCGGTGTTGGCGTTATTTCGGTCAGGGGGTCAGCCTAGATCTGAAGAGAGAGAGGCAATGTCAGTGGGAAGTAAGGAACTGTTACGACACTGGGAACGGTTGGTAGAGACGGGAGGGGCATTATACCGGGTAATACGATTACCAGGGGAATGTAAGGATACCTTTCAGGTTGTACTTCCCCAGTGTTTGCAAGAAGAGGTACTTCGAAGTGTACATGACGGCCATGGCCATCAAGGCATTGATCGTACTCTTCAGCTGGTTCGTAGCCGGTGTTTCTGGCCAGGTATGACAAGGAGAGTGGAACAGTGGTGTCAACAATGCGAAAGATGTATTCTAAGTAAGGCGGTGCAACCAAAGATTCGGTCTTTTCAAGGTACAATTCAAGCCTCCGCCCTCATGAGATCCTGGCTATAGATTTCACCATTTTAGAGCCAGCCAGCGATGGTCGAGAAAATATTCTCGTTTTTACAGACGTTTTCTCTAAGTATACTCAGGCAGTGGCTACTAGAGACCAAAAAGCTAGTACCGTGGCCCAGATGTTGGTACAACATTGGTTCCATCGTTTTGGACCTCCAAGTCGAATTCATTCTGATCAAGGGGGAAACTTTGAGAGTATGATAGTTCAGCAGTTATGTAGAATCTATGGGATACAAAAAAGTAGAACCACTCCCTATCATCCCCAGGGAAATGGTCAATGCGAACGATTTAATCGTACCCTGCATGATCTTTTACGAACGTTGCCACAGGAAAAAAAAAATTGGCCTCGCCATCTCTCACAAGTTACTTATGCTTACAATACCACCGCCCATCATGTTACTGGTGTGACTCCTTATTATTTGTTGTTTGGGTGTGATCCCAAACTCCCCGTGGATTTTTTGCTTGGAAGGAGCGAAGATGGTAGTTTTAGTCCCACTGAAGATTGGGTGCGAGACCATCAAGAGAGTTTGAGAGTAGCCCATGATCATGTAAAGCAGCAATTGCAGGCTAAGGTAGAGAAGCGGAACCAAAGATATAATGAGAAAGTAAATGATAGTGGTTTAGAAGAGGGGCAGTTTGTGCACTTGAGGAATCATGTAAAGGGGAGAAACAAAATTCAGGATTTTTGGGATCCTTGCCTTTATAGGGTGATTCGAGGTCCCTCTGGAAATGGGGCAGTTTACTCAGTGGTGTCGGTATCGGGAGACGGTCCCATTGGAACCGTACATCGGTCTGAATTAAGGAATGCCATACGTAGACAAAGCATTGAAATGCCTGACCCTCCAATGGTACTGGATCCTGAGGGCTCCCTTTCTGGTTCGTCGTCTGATGAGGAGATGTCTGGGGATTCTTGGGTGGTTCTTTTGGAGGGTAGTTCAGACCACCCTTTCCAGTCAGATGAGTTGATGCCTTCTCTTTCTGGCTCTAATGATGCCAGGGATGTAGGGCCGTTGCAAATTCTGTTCCTTTGCGACGGTCTGCTAGGGCTTCGGCTGGCCATCATTCCAACCCTAACAGATTACCACGTCCTCTGGGTGCAAGGATGCCAAATGTTGGGGAAGAGCAGTAGTATTCTGTTTTTTGTTTGTTTTTGTCCTTGGGGCAATGACAAAAATTGTAGGGGGTGGATTGTAGCAAGATAAGCAGGAGAATGGGAGGGGAATTGGGAAGTAACTACCAATCCCAGTACAGATTGCCTATAGGATGGTCCAATTTAAAGGTCAGGCAACATGGAAGGGCAGCCGGGGTCCTTGCAGCATCAGTTAGCCGTTTGGCTAGTAGCGTGTGGGACTGGGTGTCCTGTGATGTACTCTTCCTTGATGCAAGGGCATGAATCAGTGGTATTTGAATCCATTATGTGTCATGTGGGCATGAGGTGGTAATTGTGTTAATAGGGATATTTAACTATGTTTTAGAACTGTTTGCCTGATGGAATAAATTCAGGACCATCATGTTTTTTGTCTGATTGTGCACCTTAAAGGTATGGTTATTCATTTTGAGTTTGTTTGTGATGTGCATGGGACTGACACTCATGAAAAATACTCCATTTTTAGAACTGTTTGCCTAATGGAATAAATTCAAGACCATCATGTATTTTTCCGGTTGTGCACCTTCAAGGTATGGTTATTAGGGCCCAAGCCCTGAAAGGGCGAAGGCCCTATTGTTTTCCTTAGGATTATTATTAGGGCCCAAGCCCTGAAAGGGCGAAGGCCCTATTGTTTTCCTTCCGATTATTTTTTTTTTTTTCTTTTATTTTTCTAACGACTATTCGGGCACTTTTGGGGCCCTTAACATGCTCGAAAACTCTTGAAACTTTGCACACGGGTCAGAACCCGCGGCCATCAGAGCCGGGCTGAAGCTGGTACCTGGGCGTGGCAGGGCGGCTCGTCAGCGCCCCCTGGAACGGGGTCCGAACACTTGGTCCATAACTCAAACACGCTTGTATGTAATAATATGACACTCGGTACACATGTTGCTCTCATCGTTTCATCTATACCTCGCGCTCTTACTTTTTACCCCAGCCCAACAGGAAGTCGGCTATTGAGGTTTGTTTGTAAAACGCTCGCAATGGAATGTTAAATACTCCTCCTAGAGCTTTGATCCAAGTTCGACGAAACTCAGTCAGCGTGAAGTCAAGACATTGAGGATGAAAGTTTGCGAGGGGATTTTTGATATCTCGAACGGTTTGTCCGTGGCGAGGAAACAAAACTATGGCGAGAAACGTGAAACAGGAAGTGTGTTATAACTTCAGCATACATTAACTGATCTTGATGAAACTTCAGCAGTGTGTTCGCTGTAAGAGGACGATCACATGGATGTGACTATTGTGAGTCAAAGTTATAGCGCCACCAACTGGCAGCAGGAAGTGTGTCATTTTCAAAATGCTTTGAAATCACCCTTTTATTTTTACCCGATTTGCTTCAAACTTCATCTGTATAATGTAAATATACGGCAGATGAAGACCTGTAAATGCATTCTTGATATCTTTAAAACTGTTGCCATGGCAACGCATCAAACTTTACCATTCTTTTAGGATGCTTTTGAGACTCTTAGCATGCTTCAAATTGCATGAAACTCGACAGACACATCACATTTATTAGCCAGTAGACATGTGCAACGTTTCAGAAACGGGTGTGGTGAGGGCTCAGTAGCGCCACCTTTTGACAAAAGTGGGGTTGTTAGTTTTATCTACAGTTACAAAAATCAGTATGTATATTGTACTCCTCGAGCCGGACAACTTTCTAATTGACACTCATTAGCTAGGACCCACAGAAAGTCAGATATGTTTGTTTGAATGTAGAGAAAATCTCAGAATTTTGCCAGTGTCTCAGTGTCCCTCTGTGTGAGTGAGAGGAGGGGCGCCTGTCAGGTTAATTTTAACCCTTTATTTGCTGTGTGCGACTTCTCTGGCATTTTCGGGGGCCTTAACATCCTCGAAAACAATTGAAACTTTGCACACGGGTCAGAACCCATGGCCATCAGGGCCGGGCTGAAGTTGGTAACCGGGCGTGGCAGGGCGGCTCGACAGCGCCCCCTGGACTGGGATTCGAACATTTGTCCGTAAATCAAACACACTTGCATGAATTAATTATGAAACTCGGTACAATTATAGATCACATCAGGCCAAACAACTTTCGTGCTCTAAGTTTTATGACAGTTCAAATGGAAGTTATTTATGAATTATGAATTATGGGGTTGTTTGAATAATTGTCCTAGGAGAAATACATCAAATCACAATGCATGTGTTTACCAATCACAACCAAACTCGGTGTGCATGAAGTCAAGACATTGAGGATGCTCAATTCCGGACGGTTTTTTGATATCTCGAACGGTCTGCCGTGGCGAGGAAATGAATTTTATGACTAAAAAAGGACACATAAAGTGTGCTATAACTTTGCTCAATTTACCTACAGTACAAAACTTACCAC